TGTGCTGCCAATTTATAACTTGCCAGGATTGTAGGAAAATTCCTGTGAAATACAACCTTCACCAAGTTAACTATATATTTAGAACAAAAGGCTTTAGGATAGAGCTTTAAAAAGGGCATTGCCGGATACAGCCCACCTGCTCTTCCATTAATGAACTATTGCTGCATTATACTTGGTTTGTACTACTTAGTATCTTGGGAAGAAACTCCTGAATACACTTTAAAAGCTGAATGGGTCATCTGAGGTTTAAGGTGTTACAGGCTGTTTTCCTTACAAACCATCTCTGCCAATGACAATAAAACAGGATTCTAGCACTGTGTGAGGATATTCTTTAACCGGAGAAACATGAGGAATTCAGAGTTAGCCGACACTCTTGCAGATGGCTCCCGTGTGGAAAGGGACTGGACTCTGGAGTCAATCTGGCTTATATTACAGTTGTGTGATTTTGGGCTTCTTGTCCAACTCGAATCACAGTTTCTTACCTTTAAAATATGAGTACTAATATAGCTATTTGCAGGATTGTTGTGAAGAGTAAATGAGATCTTGTTGTGTCGTGGTATTTGGACGTGGTAGTTTCTATTACAGTTGGTCTCATGAATTGGTAAGTCTCCTATGCTTGTGTGGGCATCTCAGGTTTTTGCTTTGAATAGGTCTTGATTCAGAGTTATGCAACTGGGTGTGGATGAGTTGTGGAGACAGTTTAGTACAGAACCTCTTCAGTATGAGAATTGATTAAATGAAATTATATCAACCAGTGATTGGAGTGGCCATTAATTAACTTCATTGTTGTTGTTGCTAAGTGCTGTTGAATTGGTTCTGACTCATCGTGACCTTATATAGGGTTTCCAAGGAGTGACTAGTGAGCTTGAATCACCAACCTTGTGGTTCACACTGACCTTGCAGTCCAGCGCATTAACCCACAGCATCACACCAGGACTCCAGTGTACTTTGTTAGCTTCCATTTATTGACTGTAGATCCATCTAGGCACTGGATCTCAGTTCTCGGCCTATAGGATCTCATTCACTTGTCATAAATACCCTACAAGGTGGGTACTGCCATCTCCAAATGAGGATACTGATTTTCACAGAGGTCCCACCACTAGGGTTTTCAGATTTAGCAAACAAAAATGCAAAAAGCAGTGCAAGGACCATACTTGTACTGAAAAATGATTTGTTGCTTATTCAATCTTTAAATGTAATGGGGAGTTGTGTATTTCCTGTAATTGGAAGAGCTGGACTTAAAACCTTTCTCCATCTGTGTTGGAAGCTCATGCTTTTTCCTACTACATGAGTTGTTTCTTATGAAGTTGGAAGTAAAAGTCACGCATGAAAGATGAGAGCGAAGCTGTCATGTAAGGCTTAAAGTCCTTCACTCAGTTTAGAAGCTTGACTCAGAGACTCTTGTATGTATATTTGACCTGGTTCTCAACCCCACTCCTATCAATCGACCCTATGTAGTGTTTCCAAGGCTGTAAATCTTTACAGGAGCTGAAAGCTTCATCTTTCTGCCTTGGAGTGGCTGGTGAGTTTGAACTGATAACCTTGTAGTTATCCTATTATCCTACAGTGCTACCAGGGCTCCTGCTAGAGATTCTAAAAGCTAGATGGTTGTAGAGGTGAGAAGTCAGAGCAAGTCCCACTACACTGTGTCTCCTCCCCAAACTCCATTGTTCTGGGGCTGTCAAGCCAATTTAGACTCATAGTGACCGGTGGAATACAGTAGAACTGCCTCAGCATTTTTCTAGGCTTCAACCTGTATGCTGAGCAAATAATTCGAGAAGCTGGGTTCTATGAAGAAAACAGTGGCATCAGGATTGGAAGAAGACTCATTAACAACTTGTGATATGCAGATGATACAACCTTGCTTGCTGAAAGTGAAGAGGACTTAAAACATTTACTGATGAAGATCAAAGAGCACAGCCTTCGGTATGGATTACATCTCAATGTAAATCCTCACCACTGGACCAATAAACAATATTCTTATCAATGGAGAAAAGATTGAAGTTGTCAAGGACTTCATTCTTCTTGGATCAACTATCAACACTCGTGGAAGCAGCAGTCAAGAAATCAAATGATGTATTGCATTAGGCAAATCTGCTGCACAAGACCTTTTTAAAGTGTTGAAGAGCAAAGAGGTCAGCTTGAGGACTATGATGAGCCTTACCCAAGCCATGGTATTTTCAATAACCTCATATGCATGCGAAAGCTGGACAGTGAATAAGGAAGACCATAGAAGAATTGATGCTTTTGAGTTATGGTGTTGGGTGAGAATATTGAAAGTGCCATGGACTGCCAAAAGAACCAATCGATCCGTTTTGGAAGAAGTGCAGCCAGAGTGCGCCTTAGAGGCCAAGATGGCCAAACTTCATCTCACATACTTCATACATATTGTCAGGAGGGACCAGTCACTGGAGAATGATATTATGTTTGGTAAGGTGGAGGGACAGAGAAAGAGAGGAAGACCCCCAACAAGATGGATTGGCCAGATGGCAGCTTCAATGAACTCAAGCGTGAGGTTGGCCCAGGATTGGGCATTGTTTCGTTCTCCTGTGCATAAGGTCGCTATGAGTCGGTACTGACTTGATGGCACCTAACAACAACAACAACAACCATCTTTATGTGAGCAGATTGGCAGGGTTTTTTTTCTTCTCAGAGCCACTGGATGGGTTTGAGCTGCCATCCTTTTAGTTAACAGCCAAGTGCGTAACCTTGGCATTACCAGCGTTCCTTGTTGAAAGAGTACTGAGGAGTAACTAGGGGGAATGTGGTTATTCACCCAGTGAAGGTACCAAAATCTTATGGTTCTTTAGGATGGGCTGCATATAAGATGATTTACTGCTGATACAGAATTGAAGATTTCCTGAAAATATATTTCTAGGCTCTCAGAGATCCAGGAGTGCTCCTTGGTTATCACATGCACACATTTGAGACATACCTGCTTTTTAAAAGCTCACTTACCCACCCTGTGGAACCACTGAGTACTCGACCTGGGTATGTGGCTTGGTCCCTAAAGGTACCCCAGAGTCTTTCAGGACAAATCCGAGGCATTGCCCTGTACTATGGTTCCGGGCTCCATATCTGATTCCACATGCCAGTCTCTTCAGGGAGAACGTGGGAAGCTTAAGGACAACAGAGTTGAGAGGGATGTAGGTGGTGAAGACTCCCTGTGGGGTAATAGGGAGATTAACAATTTGTTCCTCTGGTCCCTTGACTACCCTCCCTGTATTGGCATCACAAGATGGTGTTGTGCATGAGAGGCCTGATTGTGGGCTTGGCTGGGAATGGGAAGAGATTTTCCTGACCAAAGAGCTGTGTCTTGAATATTTGTGACCCCAAATTGTATAACCTGTTAGCTTCCTTAATCAACTCTATAATTGTGAGTGTGGTCTGTGAGTGGAGTGTGGCCATAGTAATACATTTGAAAACCTAATTAAGAAGTAGAAGGGGTCCTAGTGTGGCGCTGTGGGAGAATGCATTGGATTGCAGAGTTAGTTTGAACCTCAGGACTGGTGGTTCTGATTTACCAGTTGCTCCTCAGAAACCCTGCACAGGCTTGCTATGAGTAGGAACCAATTTGACGGCATTTAACAACAATAACAAAGTAGAGAGTGCTGTGGTTGGTGTCCAATTTGGTAGGGAAGACTGAAGGCTGGAGGCAGGTCTGCCCTCAGGAATTGGCCTTGGGCTGATGCTGATGGTGATTCTCCTCTTCCACCCATGTGAAGTTGAAGGACAGATAGCCCCTCCCTCCCACTCTTCTTACAGGTGGATATTTATGAGACGTTCCCAATTTTGGGGTGCCACTCTGTTGAGATCAGCCAATGAAGGATACCACTTCTCTGGGTTGATAGAAAGAATTTCAAGACTAATAATAATAATAAAAATGATAGCATAAAGTGAGATTGTTATTCCAAGCACTTTATGTGTATTAAATTATTTTGTTCCCACAATCTTGTTTTGAAGTAGGAACTGTTATTATGCACATTGTATAAATATGGAAACCCAAAGTTACATAGTAAGTAGCAGGATTGGAATTTGAACCCAGGCTGATGGACTTCTAAATTTTTAACTGCTATTTTGTATAGTATGTCTGTATGCATATCAATTACAGCTTTGCCAGAAGGGTAGCCTGATTGTGTGTGCCCATATACACCGTTGATAGCTCAGCAGTAACTAAGACTCATTAGTGGGGTTTGCTGGTGTGGCCTTGTAGGATACGCACTGGAGTGCAGAGTAGATTTGAACCACAGTATTGGCAGTTCAAACTCACCATTTGCTCCTCGGAAACCCAATCCAGGATCAGTATAAATCGGAATGGACTCAATGGCACCTCACCACTACTCCTACCCGAGTAAATTACTTGTAAAATATCTTCTAGAATAATATACTCTCTCATTCACTAAAAACTGGTGTTTCCAGACCCATTCATGCTACTTACCTTGACCACAAGGGTGTGATTTTCACCCGACAAGTAGTCCTCATTACCTAAATGTTTAAAAACTCTTTATTCTGTTGGAAACATTGTAGTTTTTTCCATGATCATTGTTATGTTTGTGTGTAGAACAAGGACAGCAATTATAAGAAAGCGTTGACATTTTCAATATAAATACGTGCTCAAACCCAGGTGGCGCAGAAGTGCCCTATAGCATGTTAATGGACCACATGTAGATGATTAACAGACAGTTTTCGCCTGCGGTGGGCGATGTTTGCGTCCGAGAGCGTGCGTGTCTGTGTGTGTGCATCTGTGTGTGTCTCGGTATGCGCGTCTCTGTGTGTGCATGTTCATACTCTGCGTTTAGCCTGCGTCACTACCATGGCAATCAGTTTCTCAGTGACCTCCGTAGGTGAAGAGGGTTTCTTTGATGGTTAAAGACATACACTTCCCAAGGCATTAAATGTGCATAATGCCTTGAGGGCTTTATTCGCTGCACTAAGCCTGTTTGTCTCCTACCTAAAGTAGCCACAGAGCCTGCATTCCCACAATAGCGGCAGCTCTGAGCAGAGGCTGCCAGTGTTCCTCTCTGGCTGTGCTTTTCACTTTGGGACAAAGTTCTCTAATCAGATCTCATGGATTAATTTTCTCTACACTGTAAAGCCTGAATTGTGAAGATCTCATCATGCCTTAAAGGGCAGCATGAACCAAATTTGGGGCTGCTAAGGATTTCTTTTTTTACCCCCCTCTCCCTTTTTTTGGAGCTGTGAATCAGAAAAAGGCTTTGCCTTTAGAGAGAAATTTTGCTGCTCTTGCCAATAATGTGTAGCAATATTAAATTTAATGGCAGACCTTGAAGTGTATAAAAACTTAAGTCCAGAAAAAGGTAAGAGCCATGCTACTAATTTTAATGTAAGTTTAATAGCCCTAGAAAAAGACAGCATACATTTCTTATTTTGTTTCATGTTAAGTTAAAGATATATTTCAACTCTTAAATGTTTGGGATGTTCTATTTCAATATGAGATGAAAAGGTAACCAAGTATTTTTGATTGGGTAAAAGTGCTTTTTCTTGCAAATGTGTACTTTTATAATGATAGAATTTGCATGCTGACAAATGGGAAGTGCATCTATTATGATAAAGTGCTCAGCAACAAAAGTCATTTGTATGCTTAGGTTACAAATCAATGATACAGACATGCTTAAAAATTCCATTTGTCTGACACTTACTGACAGTGGCATTTTAATTTAAACATTGTCAAGTCTTTTTCATTTTGATTAATGTTGGATTAGATATAGAAATGTATTTTAACTTTCTCTAGTATTCTTCTCTGCACGATTCCCACTTTATAGCAGTTAAAGACTGTCATAGGTATTGAAATAATTAGCTTTATAAAAGGAAATGTCACAGATAAAATGGAGGCAGAGTCCCTATAGCATGTTCTTAGAGCCTATCTGTCAGCTCTAGTAGCCTAAGAGAAACATTTTAAAGTATGAATGAGATCAGAAATGTAAAATATGTGGAGATGGTTCTTGAATTACAAGAACTATTCCTACCTGGCCAGGCAGAATAAACGACATGTCAAGAAATGTCTCTTAAACTTAACTTCAAAGTGAAATTCATCTGTCATTTTAGATTATTCATGTGCATCTACTCAAATGTAACTTTATCATAATTATGCTTGGGTTGAGAGCTGATTTACTGATTGTTGCTAGTTTATGGTATGTGCTTCAATGTCCCATGTTTACAGTGCCAGCAGTGACACCTGCTCTTTATTCAAAATATTAAATGATACTATGGTTGGGATTACCTGAGTATAACTCAGTGTTCTAAACCTTGAAAGGAGCTCTTATGCAGAAATAGTGCAGGGTTTGGCTTATTTGATATGCAGTTTGTCAGGAGGATTTTTCCATTTAGAGTGTTGTGCATTAATTTTAGTATATTTGGAAACTCTTTTCTGTGTGAACTGTAGGAGTAAAATGAATTGCATAAGATGCCATTAGGATTCTCTTGCTTTACAGAGCATAGATGTCATGATGAGAATGACCCCTGTTACTTCTACTACACACAGTCAACTTTAAATTAAAGCTTTCATTTAATTCTTAAGAATTGTGGGAATTTGAATTATTTTTCTAGTAGTCATACGAGCTTTTTAATGTTGATGAATCTGAGGTGTCTTGTTTGAAGATAGATATCTTTACATGCATATGGTCTTATTAGAGATTTTTTAAAATGTGTTTTATATTTTATTGGATAGATTTTGCATGATTTGTTTTATGACCTATATTGTGGAAGGAGAAATTTCCTTTGCTGACTGTTCATCTTGGTTGATGAGCCAAAATCTCAACTGGTAGCGAGACTACTTTTTAAGAGATGGTTTTTTTCTGACTTCCACATCTAGTTTAAGTGGAACATTTTGAATGATATGGATCAACTCTGTTTCACAGTATGTAAAATGAATAGATTTTGAATTCTCATGAAATAAGAGTTGCATTATTAAGCAGTAATGTTAGTGAAAGTGGTTTCTTTTGACTGGAATACAAAGTTGAGAAACATCCTTTCAGAGTATTATTGATATGCTTAGGAAATTATTTATTTTACTGTTATCATACTAGCCTCATGCACAGTATACTACATGAAAACTTCAATTAGAAGGCATCTGTCTCATGATTTGTAAAAGGAGACTATGAGGCTGCGAAGGGCTCGAACTGCAACCTAAAAACAGTAGCAAGCTTGAGGCATGTCAGGCAATTGTTTTTATAACCTTGATGTGTCTAGGAACTTCAGTGTCCTCTTGAGTAGCAAAGATAATACTTTCTTGCTTACCTCACAAGGTTGTTATAAGAATTACTGAGGAAGCATTTGGGAGATTGGAAAGGACTATAGAAGTATAAGGTGACACAGTTATAAAAATATGGATCATGTATATTTTGTTTACTTTATTAGGAAATTTTTATATTTCTTCTAAGGTGCTAAAAAAAAAGCACTTTGACCCAGAACTTTTCATATCATATGCTATCAATTTCTGCCGGGGGTGGTGGTGGTGGTGGTGGTGGTGGTTTAGTTTAGCCTCCAGGGAAGCAGTGTGCATGCTGAGTGTGAATGTCTTGAGGAGGGGCTGATGTCAGTGCGGGAGTGAGTCCTCCATATGAAAAACAGGAAGAAGCTGTAACAGCCTCATCATTCTTTTATAAGAAGAAAATGCATAGGCATGGAGGAGCTACGGAGTTTTCTCAGACACACAGAGCAGATCTGTGGTCTGATCACACCCCTCCCCCATTATCAGCTCATGGTAGTTAACCCTGCTCTTTTCCTTCTCTCAGATTTTTACTTATATAGCAAAACCCAATCCAACCCACTGCTGTCAAGTCAATTCAGATTCAGAACGACGCTATCCCAAAGCCCGCCTCCCCCCCCCACTCCCGACAAAACCCAAATCTACTGCCATCTACTTGATTTTGACCAGTGTTGTTATTGCTAAGCGCCTCAAACCAGTTCCAATTCATAACAACTCTGTATAGGGTTTCCGAGGAGTGGCTGGTGAATTCGAACCACCAACCTTGCAGTTCAAATGACCTTGCTTATCTTGCAGCACCATACCTGGGCTCCTTATAGTGACCGTATTTGGTGTTTGTTGCTAAGTGCCGTCAAGTTGGTTCTGACGCATAGCGACCCTGTATAGGGTTTCCCAGGAGCAGCTGGTGAGCTTGAACCGCTGAGTCCTTGGATGGTGCATGTGGTTAACACACTTGGCTGCTAATTGAAAGGTTGGAGGTTCGAGCCCATCTAGAGGTGCCTTGGAAGAAAAGCCTGGCTATCCTACTTCTGAAAAATCAGACATTGAAAACTCTACAGGACACAATTTTACTCTGACAATATGGGATTGCCATGAGTTAGAACTGACTTGATGGCAAAAAAACCCACAAACAAAAAACATCTGCGGTTTCTCTCATATATCATGTCATTGTAATTCAGTGTACAGGCCTTTTTTCCTCTTCTTTTTTTAAATGGTTAGGAAGCATAAAATTGAGTTTCTTGTAGAACACCTAATAATTTGTCAATAAACAAAGACATATGATAGGGCGTCAAAATTCATGAAAAAAAAAAAAAAAGGGATGCTAGGACAATGGACATTTCCATGAACTTTTTGAAGTTCCCTGGTATTGAGTGCAACTTTATGTATATGAGGAGAAGGAGCCCAGGTGGCAGTGTACAATGGACTGCTAACCACAAGGTTGACAATTCAAACCCAGTAGTCGCTCCAAGTTGAAAGAGGTGGCTTTTTGCTTTTTTCACAGCCTTGGAAACTCTTTGGAGGCTTACTAGGCATTGGAATCAACTGGATGGCAGTGAGTTTTATTTATGAGAGAGCTTTAACAAGTTTGTGGGAAAATTCCATTACCTTTCCATTCCATTTTCCCCTGGACTTTTTGAAGCCCCCTCACAAGGTTCTGGTTGGGATGTGAAAATCAATAAAAATGACAATCTTTCTTCCAGTAAGTCTTAGTTTATGGTCTAAACCTATATTGCTCTAATTATATATTATCACAGGACTATAATAGAGGTGTGTTTTTGAGGTATCTGGGGCATGGAGAAGTCAGTGAAGGATATCTGGAGATGACATTTGAATTAGCCATGAAGATTTTATCAGGTGGAAAAAGCAAGGGAATATAGATACGGAGAAGCAGGCAAGGACCAGGTATTATAAGGAGCTCTGGTGGTAGAATTTTAAAGTTTAACTGCTGTGGTTTGAACCCACTCAGTAGCTCTACTGGAAAAAACCTGGGGACCTGCTTCCTGTAAAGATTATAGTCCAGAAAACCAAAGGGACAGTTCTACTCTTTCACTTGGGGAAGCTATGAGACCGAAACAACTTACTGGGCACCTAACAACAAAAATCCAGGATAAGGAGTATGGGCACTTAAAAAAAAAAAAAGGCAGCCAAAACAAAACAGAAAACAACAGAAGGTTTTAAGCTGGGAAAAGCATAGTCAGATTAGAATTTTAGAATGAACTCTCTGAAAACTACACTATGAGCTACTGAAAGAAAATAATAATTTTTATTTAATTTTGAGACTGATGGGGGAAGACTGAGGCTGGAGCCAGGGAGACCAGAAGAAGGCTGTTGTTTAGTAACTAAACCTCTGTAACTAGGTAAGACTACAGTGATGTTGTTGTTGCTAAGTGCCACTGAGTTGGTTCTAACTCATAGAGACCCTGCTTTGGGTCTCCAAGGAACAACTGGTTGGTTTGAACTGCTGACCTTGTGGTTCACAGCCCATTGCTGATCCTACAGTGCTACACAAGGAGACCTATCCACTGAGATTTCTTAGGCTAGATGTACTTTGGGTGCTGTGCCCTTACCAAAGCTGTCCTAGAAGTCACATTGCTTGTTCTTCTGAATAAGGAGACCTGCTGGCATAGTGGTTAAAGAACTCTGCAGCCAACCAAAAGGTCATGGTTTCAACCCAACAGCGGCGCACCAGGAGAAAAATGCGACAGTCTGCTTCTGTCAGCATTGTTGTTGTTAAGTGCCTTGGAGCCAGTTCCGACTTGTAGCAAGCCTGTACAGAGTTTCTGAGGATTTGAATTACCGACCTAGTGGTTAATAGTCCAGTGCTTATCTTACAGCGCCATACCAGAGATTGCTATTGTTGTTGTTAAGTGCCATCGAGTCAGTTCCGATGCGCAGCGACCCTGAGTAGGGTTTCTGAGGAGTTGCTGATGGGATTTGAGATGTCAACTTTGAGATTACAGCCTTGGAAATCTCGTAGGGAAGTTTTACTCATCCTATAAGGTTGCTATGAGTTGAAATAGACTCAATAGCAATAGTTTATTGGTTTATTCTTCTGCATATACATACACATACTTGTTAACTACAACTCCG